TTTCCTGGACCAGGAATAGGAGGGGACACTCACTTTGATTCAGATGAGCCGTGGACCCTGGGAAATTCCAATCATGATGGTAAGAGAGCAAGCTATTTTTCAGAATAAGAAAAAGTTGAGTGTAAGCACAGTGGCAGGCTTTTAACTGGGAAGTGCTTAGCAGAGCCTTCGCTTTCCAAACTGCAGTTCAGATGTGTTCTAACGCACGCATTCTGTCTTAAATATAGGTTTGTGAGTGCATGCCTCGTGCTGAGGGTTGGACAGAGGGATGCATCTTCTTGCTCACTGGGTATCTTGAAATCTGGGCCACTGTTGCAGCAGAAGATTGGTTTTCCTGAGGGACGAGATGAACAGGAGGATCATGGAATGTAAACTGTGTCCCACGGAATGCTTAGCGTGGGTGAATAGATGGTTGTAGTGATGGACAGAAAATGAAGAGAGTGAAGGCATTTGTATTTCAAATAGTTTGAGTCTGTATTTATTTTCCCACAGTGTGAGTGCAGTCATTATTCCTTCTGTCAGAGGATGGGGCTGGCTGCCTTGTTAAGGAAGGCAGATGATTAGAAGAGCTGTTCTTTTGATACGAAGCAGTGAAAAGCTTCTGTGTCTTTGTGGCTTTATCTTGCTGTCAGGTGACAACGTGCACTTTCTGATTTATTTTAAAACCTGTGATTCAGGATTGTGGTGATTTGTAAAACTTCTGAAGTTGGAAAACCAGAATTTTCAGAATTCAGAAATTTTCGGAAACAGTGATCTGTAATTTAATGTGCTAGAAAGAACATGGATTCAAAAGTCACATTTTTGGGACATTTTATAAAGATTAGGAGTTTTTGGCGTGTAAATGGCTTGATTTTTAAATAGTATAAATGCATGGGAGCCTTTGTGTGGCCATGATGTCTAAGAACAAATGCAGAGGTGATACGTTTTCTTCAACCAGACAGTATTCTTGTTGCTGCTTCCTGTCAGAATGGAATGCAAGAGGAGAAAATCCCCGGGTTTTGAATTGATATCTATCAGATCATCTTTGATAAGAAATAGAGCTGCTAAATTCAATTTGGAAATGCAAATTTGAAGGAAAGCAGCAGTTATGAGATAATTATTTTCTCAGGGAAAGAGAAGAAATCTTTCCTGGCATGTTTAAATGATGAAATAAAGAGAGGTTATAGCCTGTGGGTTGTGGGGAGCATGGGAGATGATGGTGTGGCAGAAAAGCACTCTGCTAGCTTTGAGATGTTATGAATTTCAATTCCTGTGTTTGTGGCTGATAGGCAGTTCATAGGTTTCTATGAGATCAAGATTGAGAATCAGAGAGTGAGCAGTTGCCCTGTGAGAGCTGCTTTTGTGTGCCATCAGTGGATGCACACAGTGAGTGCCAGGACTCCTCAGGAGCGCTGGGACAGGAGCTCCTTACAGGAAGGTGGAAGGAGAGCTTTTGGCAAGTTGTACTTTATTGTTAACCCACAAGCTTCCTTCTTATAACAAGCTCAGCAGGGATGGGAGGCATTTTAAAGACTCGGGGAGTGGCTTTGGGAAAAACTTCCTCTTTGGTGTGATGGTACGACACTATCGCCGTCTTGAAATCTTGAGATTTTGTTTCTTTTTTTTTCGCTGTGTATGTTTTAGGACATCATTTGGGAACAATGTGTACAATGAGTTGAAGGTCTCTTTTTGTATGAAAACTGTGTCTTACATGGTGGCTCTTTAAAACACGTGGTGCATTTCTCTCTTGCGCTGCCAGACTGCTGGGTGATGTCCTCAGAGTGCCTCTGGTTGGTGTTTGTGGAACGGTGTGCATTCTGCTGCTTGTGGATTAAAATGTTGAGCTTTCCTTTCCAGAGCATAAATGTCACTTCTGCATTTGAGTGCAGCATTATCTGGATGGCATAATTATTTTAAAATGTCTATAAAAGTGGCCAGTAAGGGAAGTGTGGTCATATTTGTCCTCTATATCTAAAGGAATTGCTGATGGTAGAAGGGGAGTGTCATGCTTGGAGGATGACGGGGTAAGCCTGTACTCAGCATTGTAAATGTGGGCACTGAATATGACTAATTTGGTTTGCCTGCATTCTTAGCCTTGATGTGCCAATGTGAAAATGTCCTGTGTTATTGCCAGAGGTGGCGCAGGCCTTGTAGGAGGGTTTTTCCTTCTGTTTCACAATTTCTTGTCGTTACAACTCTTGCCAGAGCAGGTTCCCCAGAGCAGGTTGTGCAGCAAAGTGCCTGTGAGAGAAGGGCAGTACACCCCTCTGCACAGCCTGTCCTAGTGCTCCCATTCATCAAAGTATCAATAGTGAGAAGACACCCCGTAGTAACCAGCTGAACTTCAATAGCAGTTTACCACAGCAGCCAGTGTGTAGTCAGTTGAAATTCGTGTGCTCATTATTTTGCATGATCATCACTGTACTGACTTTGCCTATTGCAGACATCATGAGTGTTACCATGTCCATTGAAATCAGTGATGTTCTAGGCATGATGCTGGTTGTCTGAGACTGAGGTCAGAGGGGTGTGTGCACCAACACATCTGTATCTTCTGCTCTGAAGAGAGAAATGCAGTCCCCTTCATGCTATATTTTAAATACAGTTTCTCTTCTGCATACAGTTCCTTTAGCTAAGTAATACTGTGCTTTCAATTCATGACTGCTGATTTATCATGTTAATTCTACTACCTTCTCTCACATTGCCATAAGTAAGCTATGGAGAAAACTAATTTAGCTAATAGAAGGATATGCAAAGCTGAGTAGGAAGCTGAATTCATGGAGCTGTCCTTGTCGCGTGTACAGAATTCCTTTGCAAGTTTTTGTAGGAGGGTGTCAGTGGGAGCTGCTACAAGCATGAGGCAGGCTTGGAATTCAGAAGAATCAAGGCAAACAAAAGAAGCGATGTGGCAAACAGGAAGCAACCAAAAAAGAGGAGCGTGGTTTTCATTTAGAGGTAAATCAGCTGCACGCCATGCAATGAGGAGGCACTGAGGTGATTGCAGTAGGAGGACGTATCTCTAATTTTTCCTGGAAGGTGCTTCTCAGAAGCAGTGAAAGCAGCAGCACTCAGCCCTCAGCGCACCCCAAACTTGTGGCAGCAGAGGCTCCAGTTTATTAGACTTCGGTGTGTGGGCACGTGGAGGCAGCTGAAGCCATTTTGAATTTGTTGTCTTTTAGTGGTACGTTGGTATGGGTTGCTTGTGAGCCAGGAGGTTGCTTGGAGCATTCTGCTCATGAATGCAGCCTCAGTATCTCAGTCATTTCTATTACCAGAAAGCACATCAAAGATAACTGTGCCATGCTTTCCCCAAGCCCTGGGCATTTTTTCATGTAAAATATACTGTAGGAAAAGCTGAGCACACTTCAAAATAGCTGTCTCAGAACTCACAGCTGCTTCCATACATTGTTCACTGTAGGCAGCAAAGCCTGTGCCTGAAAGAGGGCACCCAGACTGGGCTGTGCTGTGACTGCTCGCTTGGCTGCCTCAGTATCTTACCTAACCTGAATCAGGCATCGACGTGCTGCATGAAATCCTTTGTTAACTGGGCCAAAGCAAGTATTTTCTAGCCTTTATATGAAATGGTTAATAATATATTTGTATGAATCTCCAATAATAGCTGGAAAAAGTATCCTACCAAGTGTCAGAAACGAAACTGTCATGTTAAATATCCACTTTATGCATGTCTGCTCTTATGCCTGACTACTCAAACATTTGTGTAACCCGGTTTAATTACAGGAAATCAGTTTTAATCCCCCAATTAACATTACAAATAACATCATTAATAATCCCAGTCAAATCTTCCTCTCTCTTTTTTGTTTTTAAAATAAGATTGTTGCTGTCCCTGCATGCTGTCAGCACCACACCTGGGAGTGTGCGGTGTGTGCCAGCCTGTTACAGCTATCGGCTCCTGTTTGCAGTGCCAGTACCTGCTTGTGTCACCATCGGTGCAAGGGGCAGTGCCTCCAGGAGCTTCTGCAGGAGTTGTGGAGGAGAAGTGTCTGAGCTGCTTGGCAGGAAGGCTCCTGTTAGCCCTGAGAAGAACTGAGAGGCTTCTCTCTGTTTTTCCACCACAAGGACAAGCGCTGTTTCAGTGAACAGCTTGCTGGACAGCAGGACAAATGCTCAAGCTGCCATCTGGACACGGCATATGCTCAGCAGGGTTTTCGGGACAGCTGGAGGCCATTAAAGCTGGTGGGTGTCAGTGCTCAGCAAGGACCTCAAGGAGGAAATTCTGGCTAGAATTTGATTTTGGAGGAGAATCTTACTGATTGCCAGTGAGCGTTACAGCCTCTGAGGGGAAAATCTGCCTGTTGGTGGGGAGGAGGTGCACGGCTCTGAGCTGACATCTGATCTGTGGAGGCAGCGTGCAGAGCGTGCGGACACAGCCTGGAGCCGTTGGCTGGAGCAGCCAGCATGGCCAGCTGGTCAGAAGCAGTAATTCTCCCTTTGTGTGTAGCACTGGTATGGCCTCACCTTGAGTCTTGTGTGCAGCTCTGTGTGGGCTGCACAATGTGAAGGGGACATTAATGTCCTTGGAGGCGCCCTGAGTAGGACACAGAGTGGGCAGCAGGGTGAGGAGACCAGTGCTGTGAGGAGAGCCTGAGAGCACCGGAGTTGCCTGGTCTGAAGGAGGCTGAGAGGCAGCCTCACTGTGCCCTGCAGCCCCTGAGGAGGGGGAGCAGAGGGAGCTGCTGGGATCTGCTGCTGGGAAGTGGTGGTGGGATGGGAACTGCACAGAGTTGAGCCAGGGGAGCTCAGTGTGGGCTTCAGGGAACGACCCCCACTGTGAGGGTGGTCAGAGATGGGAAGAGGTTTCCTGATGATGCCCTGAGCCTGTTGGCTTTCAAGAGGCATTTGGACAACACACTCCATCATACGCTTTCACTTTTGGTTCACCCTGAGCTGCTCATGCCGTTGGACTCCATGATCTTTGTAGGTCCCTTCCGACTGAACTGAACTGTTCCGTGGTCGAATGGTGTCTGCTGCTGGAGGTTTGTTGTTTTCTGTCTTGGCAGTGTATCCTTTTTCCTAAAGACAGAAGCCTTTCATCCCTGCTTCCTCTGTGGAATTCAGTTGCACAAAGAGAGGCACTTCTCCATGCTCTCAGAGCCCCAGATCGCCCGTGGGTACCAGGCATGCTCACAAGGCTGGCAGGTGGGACTGGGGTTCTTCCAGGATATAAACATCAGGAAGACCTGCATCGCTTAGTGTGTGCTTCTCATTTGTTAAAGAGGAATTTTCACACAGAAAACTGTTCAAATCAGGTTACAGAAGCACTAAATACTAGAAAATATAAGGTTCTGTTTCACTTAGTCCCTATTTAGGCGTGCATCAGACCGTGATGACCGTGACTTCTTTGTACTTTTACTGTAAAGGTTCTGCTCTTTGTAGTGGGTGTAGGTCAGGCAGATTTCTATACTAGTTAGACTTCTTTTTTTTTTTTTTTTTAATCTTCCCACAGCAGCTCAGAGCTGTAAGAAGGTGTTCAGCTTACAAAATGATGGCAGCAAATTCCCTTCTTAGTAAAAGATTCCTTTTAATAAGAAGGGAATCTTTTAATGTTGTCATTATTCACGAGGGAGGACTGATGTGCATGGAAAGGTAGATGGCAGTATTTTATGTATATGTTGCTGTAAGCATCACTGATGAGTACTATAAATGTACTGGATGTGTGTTAGGGTAAAGGTTTGCCTTTATTAAGCAGGCTTTGTGAGTTGCTTTGCCTTTTATTTAGACAGGTCATCATATGACATCACTTTGGAACCACTGCCTGTTATACAACTTTTACCTGATGCCTTTGATTAAAGTAGTGTGATTTGTTGAATTTTCTTTATTTGCACTTTTCTGGGATGTCTGTACAGCCTGCTTGTAGTCCACCTATCTGAGCTGTACAGATACAGTGCATGCTTGCTAAAAAACAAAATACAGCTGCTTTTAACCCCTTCACAATTTATCCTCAATTTATTCTGAAATGTATTCCTGTTTCCTCTATGTTCATTGCACTACTTCTTTAATACTAGTTTTCTAAGGAAATGCTGAGGACAAGGAAGAAAATCTACAGAGTATCAATATAACGAGCAACTCAACAGCAGGTGTAGTTGTAACACAGTATACCTATAATGTTGCTTTTTGGCTGTTAAATACATTTTTAATTTTCTTTCTCTGATTTCTCAGGTAAAGAACATCTCCACATCTAAAGAGTGTTATTCTAATAAATGGCATTTTGAATCCATCATTATTTTTCAGGCTTCTGACACTGTTGTTGAAAACAAGCATCAGAGCTTTTCAGAGTGAAAACCAGAAGTGCTTTGAAGCTACTTGGTTATCTTCTGTTGCAGAAGACCTGTTCTCTGAAAGACTTTTGTATAGATGTTGGAAGTTCTGGGGCATAAGATTGTGTTAGGATTTCCACTTATTCTGTCAGGCTTTTTTATAGTAATTCACTCCATTAAAAAACAAAAAAACAAACAAACAAAAAAAACCAAACAAAACCAAACAGTTCAGTAGTCTCATACCTACTTAACATTGGTTTCATCCCATGACTGCTCAAAGACCAGTTCCCATAAGCCAGATTTCTCTGAAATCGAAATTTAATGTTGAACTGAATTTGAGCAAGTATATAGATGCATAGTTTCATAACAGCCATGCATGGTATTAAAAAACAATGATAATAATAAAAAATCAAGTAGTTTAAATAAGCAACAGTTGGAGGTTATGTCCCTGTTGTGCCCAACAACAAAAACATAGAAGGCTTTAAGTAAAGGACCAGAAAATTATAATTTAAACAAAAACTAATTCCACCAGAGAAACTTGTTAGCTGTCGTAGCTGCTCATGGAACAGATGTTCCACTTCCTTTGTGAATTAAGAACTAAAGCGAGGAGAGAAAGCCCACCAGCACACATGGAGGACTTCTGTCTTCAGATTCTTCTTCACTACTGGACAGCATCTCTGTAAGTAGTGCTTTCTTTTGTGTTATGTGCAGTCACTGTACAAAGATAGAAGTGGCACTGCAGTATGCTGAGCTAGTGCAACAAATTTGCTAGAGCAAAGAATGCTAAAGCTTTGCAATATTGACAGTGCTAGTTATTGATTACAGCTGAATGCAATTTCTACTTTCAAAACAGTATGCTCTTAAGTATGCTTTCTGCTCGCAGTGTTCTCTGAAAAGAAAATATCTGTTGCCTTTGTCAATGTTAGTTTGATTTGCAGTGTATGAATGGAGGTATTTAGGTATTTGGAACCTACTGATTTCTTTATAAAAAAAAAATTAAATATTTCACTTCTTTCCACAGAAAATCGGATGTGCTGAGGTTCATAGGAAGGAGCCAGTAGGAATCAGAATGGTGTCATTCCCATAAAAAGGAGAAAAAAATATACAAAGGCAGAACATGAGAGTCAAGGTGAGACACAAAATCTTTTTGCATTTTGACTTTGTGATCCAAGAACAGATAATGGGAAGCAAGCCAAAACACAGCAGTATTCCAAATAAACTTGCTCTATTCCACTGGATGGGGCAGTAAATAGACAGTCAGTAAGAGAATAAAGGAAAATAAGTGAATTATTTCAAAAGACTTTTCTAATTGTAGTCAGATGTGGTTTGCAGCATCAGCACTGAAACAGTAGCCAGTACTCCAGACCTTGTCCTCCTGTTTTGGAAGAAGAGGGAGTACAAGATGTTGAAGATAGTTTCACCAGTGTGACCTTCTCTACCCAGATCTACCAAGAGTACCACTTGGAGTGGGGAAACTCTTTGCATCCCAGTTACTTCTTACTTCTCAGACCTGCTCAGTCCTTGCAGCCCCATCAAGAACATTCTATGTCAGAAGGACAAAGATAATGAGATAGGTCTCCTGTCTGTAGTAGGAAACACCTCTGTGGCAAAAAGCTCCTCTTGTAGCTCCCAGAACAACATTTCCCTGTTGCCAGCAGTTGGAATCAAGAATCATTTCCAGCTGGTTGGCAATAAAAGCCCTAAGTAATACAAATCAGTTTGTCCACATTCCCTGTGCCAGGTCTGTTTTGAGCACACTGGGTCAGCCTTTGAATTGTTATGGAATGCTCCTGGTTGTTCCCCAGCTGGGTCAGATCTCTGTACACCTTACTATTTGCAGTATGGTAGACTTTAGCATTTTTTGGACTTGCATTTTGTCTCTTCATCGGCCATATCTGTGTGAACAATAATTTGGTACTTTTGCTTTATGATTTTACAAACTTTTAGCTTTTAGTATTTGCTTTTCTCTTTAAAAAAAAAAAAAGAGATAAAGGAAAGCTCTAGGTTATTTATTACATTTTTTGTAGACTAATGGAATGAAAGTCATCTACGTTTTCTGTTTTTATAAGTATTTCCCTTTTCTTTACCATATGTTCTACCAGATAAGGCAATGCTATGCTAATAAAATTTCTATTAAAAAAATTCTGCTTTAAAAAAAAAAAAAAGAAAGAAACCCTGAAAATGTTGTGTTCCATGCTGTTTAAGGTTTCAGAGCAAAAAAGGTAACATCTGCCACTGACTGACTGCTGTTGAGTAACAGAGGTCATTTGTGGTCAGAGCTGAGTAAAAATCCTTCTCGTGAGTTACGAAGGGAGCAGATTAATACATCTTTATGATACAGAAGTTAAATAAGAGCTTCCAGTTTGGGGATGATTGCACTGGCACAGGTTGCCCAAGGAGGCTGTGGATGCCCCATCCCTGCAGGCATTCGAGGCCAGGCTGGATGTGGCTCTGGGCAGCCTGGGCTGCTGGTTGGTGACCTGCACACAGCAGGGGGTTGGAACTGATTGAGTGTTGTGGGCCTTTGCAACCCAGGCTGTTCTAGGATTCTATGATTATTTAGTATTAGTTCACTGAGTAACAAGCTACACTTAAATTTGTACTTGTGGGAATGCATAGGACAGATTTTGAGAAGAACGTTCTTATTTCTTTCCCTGCCTGCCTGCTGAGCCAGCTGAAAGTAGTCACTGCTTCTCCTCTTTCTGACTGCTCGCTCTTGCTCCCACATCCCTTAGTCAGTTAAGGTTTTACCACTCCAGACAAAAATCATATTTTTTTTCTCAAATTTTTTACAGGAGATTGGTTTCATAGTGCTCTCAGTTCTATCTCAGATGAAGCACAGCCTGTAGCATCAATTAGGTCTGTAACACAACTAACAAACCTAGTTTGCACACTGCCTTGTGGAGACAGTAAAGCAAACCTATCTTTCATGATTCCCGATTCTCTGTCCTGCAGTCACTTGATCTTACAAGGGTGTGAGTCTCTTATTGGCATGTCTGCAACAGAGTTGACACCTTAGTTGACAGAGACTGCTGCTTTGAGTTGTCCAGTGATATGAACTGTTTATCCAGATGGTAAAAGTTTAAACTAGGCTGTTGTGACCATGCTGACCGTAACTGTGCAGGCTGTTCAGCACTCCCCTGAACCAGGAGTCCTGAGGGCTAATATTAATGTATTTGTTCACAAAACATTATGAAAGGTGTGCTGTGGCACATGAAGACTTCCAAGAGGGGTCTGTGACTCCCATCTGGTGATGGCTTTAAAAGTTAGGAGTTGTTTGCCCTGACCAGGATTATTCACCTTGAATTGCTGGCTACAGGTCAGTTCCTGCAGGGTGAGCTCTACTGAGCACTTGCACCTGTGGTTCATCAGCCTTGATGAAACTGAGCAGCTGCAATTGAGTTTGAGAAAGTCTGTCCAGAAAAGTCAGGTGAGAACTTCAAAATAAATAAATAATTTTAAAGGGGCTGGAAAACTAAGAAGAGCATCTCACATCTTGTATCAGTTAACGTTGCAGTTGTTCAATGTGTTTGTGTTGCAGACAAGAAAAGTTGGTCAAATTGTCTTTATGGAGATACTCCCTGCAATCTGAGTATGCTAACAGTTCATTATCTGGCTGATCTCTGTTAAGACTGCATATCATTCTCTTCTTTCTCTAGTGAAGCTGTTTAAAGATTCTAAAATTAGATCTTTAAGATGTATCTTTATTCATTGGTAGGTTTACAACTCTAACAGCTTAGGAACCAAATGAAGACTCTTTTTCTTTTTAACATGGTTTTTTTTTTTTTTCCTTTTTAGATGGAATGTGGGAAACAGCTTTTCATTGTCCAATGCAAATAAATGAAGGAGCAATATCATCACTTCTACAGGTCGTCATGTGCAAGAAGGTTGAAAGCATTCTTGAGCAGAGCATATTGTGGGAGTGAATGGAGGAGCACAACACGAATGGCATATTCTGTTTGACACCTGCCAGGTCTGAAGATGCAAGTACCAAGGCATAGCTTAGAGTAGCCCTAAAGCTTCTTTAAGTTGTGCTTGGAAAACAGTTGTTGGACTTGAAGGGGTCATTTGAGTGTATTTTAAAAGCATGTTTATAGTTCACACCATTTTTTTTCTGTAATCACTCTAGGTATGGTATTGTCACAAGCAATGATCTGACTTCTTCAGTATCATTTTTACTTCCAATAAAATTTCAAAAACGTAACCTACACGTCTTTTCAGTTGTCTGAGTAAGCTGCTGTAAGTAGCTCAGTGTTGTCATGATGATGCTGCTTAAAGCGTAATGTGGTAGAGATCATAGATCCACAGTTGCTCTGCTATTATTAACTAGAGGTACAGTGTTATTAAATTACACACCTGCTGTCTTACAGCTCTGCCCTGGTTTTACACTCTGTTGTGCCAGATGCTCTGCAGAGCTTTCATAATCAGTGATAAATACTGATAGCAATATCACAGTATATCCGCAGGAGTAGCTCTGTGACCCATTGCTATAAGCTGATGGATGTGCTAGTGAGTGTTTTTTTGCTTATCTCCATAATTTGGACACCTTAATCTGCAAAGTGTTTCTTAGCCAAATATTTCTACATGAATTTTGATGGTCAAAATGAATAAAACTGTGAAAGAAGGTATGTGCTAGCAGTTCCACAGAAACCTTCCCCACGATGCCTGTTATCTGATTCAGCAGTCATTTCTCCAGCTGCAGATGGAACTAAAAGAAGCCTGGAATACATGTCTAGAAGGAGAATAATTGATGAATCTGTTTATCTGTAGTGTTCTTTATGTTGGTGCAGTAAAACCATGGGTTTCTGCAGGGAAGGTTAGTAAACAGTTTGAGAGTGCTTGACTGAAGACCTGGTTTTGATACGACTATATTGCAATATATCTTAACTCAGCCACTTCAACTGGGAATACATCTGCTAAAAGGGGCTTTATTCTAATTTTTATTTTAATTAAGGAAATTCAACACAAAAGTATGTTTATAGTTTGCATATTCTTTGTCTCGTGTACACGTGGAGAGTAACAGAACTGTTAAATTGAACATAAGATGAACAGTTTGTCTGGATGATGGTAATGAGAAACAAATGTTTTTATGTTGTTACAGGTGAGCTGCCAATTAAAACTTTCTCTGGTGATAACATTGTTTTGGTAAGGAGCATACACCATGAATGAACTGTTACTCTGTTTTAGCATAGCAAATCGACCTGTTTTACTCAGCAGACCAACTTGTGAAACTCTCCTTGGTTGTGTGGACTTATCTTCTGTCTGGTGATTTCTGGTAGACTTTGGGATGCCTCCTAAGAACCAGGAGGGAGGCAGTGCTGGCAGGTCTCTGACCAAGCATATTTAGTTTGTACAGATGGTGCAAGTAAGAAGTGTTGGACATCTCTGGAGAGCTTCCCCTGCAAACACAAACCAGAGGTAGCCCATTCTTTCTGTACTGTGCTCCCTGCTATGGGAGGCTGGTATATATTGGATACAGAGTTAACTGGTCCCTTGCTCTTGGCTGTGGGTGGCCAGGATTGAACAGGGAATGAAGGAGCTTTATCTGAGTGCCTGATGTTTCTGTAGACCGGGAGAGTATCGGGCTAGATCTGAATCCTCCTGATTTTTTTGCTCCTAAAGAGATGGACGTGAATAAGAGAGTAGTATTCAGACAAGACACGTGCAGAACATGGACAGAGACTGTAATGTGCTTGAGAACTGTCAGAAACAGTCCCAGAGGTTTTTTTCACCTCCTTTGAAGGTGCCTGCAGATCAGCTAAGTTTCCAAGCAGTGTGAGTATGCAGAGGGCTGCTGGAAAAGTGCACCTATTAGGCAATGGATTTATATGTTGATATATTCTTTTCAGAGATCATAGCCAACAATTTGAAAAGGAAAATGAGCAATATGTTGCATTTCATGCTGTGAAACTCCCAGCCTTTTACAGTAAAGAGAACTTCTGCAGGTTTGCAGATGATGCTCAGTTTGAGAATGGTTGATGCACCAAATGGCAGCGTTGTCATCAGAGGAACATCAACATGCTGGACAAGCGGGCTGACAGCAACCTCCTTAAACTGAGGAAAGACAAATGCAAAGTTCTGCACAGAGGGAGAAATAACACTGTGCACATCTGAGAGGGCAACAGAGTGGAAAGTAGCTTTGCAGGAAGGGTCTGGGAGTCCTGGTGGGCATGTGAGCCAGGGGTGAGACAGGCCAACAGCATCAGGCTGCATTAGGAAAAGCCAACAAGTCAGGGAAGGCAATCCTTCCTCTCTTACTCAGCAGCAGTGAGGGCGTGTATAGAGTGTTGTGCCCAGTTTTGGGCTTTTTGGAAAAGAAACCTAAACTGGTACAGATATGGACAACCTGCTTTACTTGGCCCTGCTTGGACAGAGGGGTTGGACTAGGCAATCTCCAGCCTCGACCTGGAATGAGCTTGTGTAGTTCTGCTTTCCAGCTGTAGAATGGGCTGTTACTTGTTTGGGGCAGAAAGAAGTGATGGAAGATTATTTAAACCTACTTTAAATAAAGATAGTGTCAGATATTATGCTCCTGGTAGAGCTTAGTACAGCCTATGGAGAGGCAAGTGATTCAGGTAGACCTGTATGCAAACTTGCAGAGTTACAAATTGTAGACATGCTGTCAGTACAAAAACTCTTCAGATACTTCAGCAAGGAAGAGAATGCCACCAAACTGGTGAGGGGAGAAAGTCTCCAACCACTTAGCGTGGGCAAAGCCCTTTTCTCCTTCAAGTCAGTATGGAGTGGCTTTTAGTTGGACTCCTGTGTGTGAATTGTGGCAGTGAAAATTTGTGCTTTCATGAACATTAGAGTGCTACAGGAAACAAAGTCCATTTGCTAACATGGCGTTGAGTCTTTGAATTGCTTTTGAAAATTGAGTGCATCTTCTATGCTTGGGTATATTTCAAAACCTATGGAAAGCGATTGGTCCAAGCTTCACCATGTAACCACTAAATGCATTTTACACTAAGAAATTGAATATTCTACTGACTAGTTCAGTACACATCAGATTTTCCAGCAATAGAGGAAGAAAAGCAAGTCTCCATTTGGATTTCCAGATTACAGAAATTCTGGTGTTTAAAATACATGCATGGCTAGATTTTAACCCATCTATTTCTTCAGACAGTTCTATTTGAGCAAATGTATTTGAATACTTACTTGAAATGTGTATTTTTACATGTCATGCATATTCTTTCCAACTCAGATGTTTTGATGGTACAACCATGTTGGTGTGATAAATATGACCAGTTAAGTACTGTTTATTACTGGCTTTTGGCAAGAATGTCTTGAGATGCTGGCAAAGTACCCTGCTCTAAAGACTTGCAGGCTTCTGATTCTGCATGGCCATCTTTCTTAAACTTGAATCCCTGTTGAGACTCCTGTCCCAAGGACACCTCAGCCATGTGCACAAAACTGAAGTCTGTTGCTCTAACTCGGGCGGTTTGAAGATGCAGAAGTGCAGTTGGATGCTGCCGTGTTCTCCTGTGCCTGGTTGCCAGTTTTTTGCTCTTGTTTTGTGTCTTGTCAAAAAACCCCACCAAACTGATAAGACCCATTTAGGGAGGACTGAGTGCTCATTTTATTGGCTTGGGGCAATTATTAAATCTGGCCTTGTTGTCTGTGTCTTCACCCTTCACAGAAGCATTGCCTGTGTCACCTTCCATGTCAAGATGCCCTCGAGATGTAGAGCATCCAAGGACCACTCTAGATCAAGGAGGTTGGGGCCCCAGATCCATGGGGCTGAAGAGGAGTGTATGTCTGTGATAGTGGCACGTAGTGTCCTATAGGGCTGTGTTATATCAGCTCCTCCCACTGACTTGGCAGTGCCAGGAGTTTAGCAAAGTAAAAGCATGTTGAGGAGCCTGTGCTGGGGGAGATGATGCTGTTCCTGATATCACAAGTGTGGTGTGTTAGCCCTAGTTGTCTGTGTCCCAGCTCCTGCCTTTGTAGGCCTGGCTGGTGCACTGCTGCTCACCCCTTGGATTTGGTGGTCCAGGTCAGACCAGAGGATGTCACTGGGGGACCTGGAATGAGGTAGAGTCTCCTTTCCCACCATACACCGTTGTTGACTGGGAGATTGGCAATGCTCTCACCTTTGTTAGCAGCACTGGGGTGTGGAGCCTGTGGTATCCAAGGAGCCTGCTGGCCATTTTCTTTTCTGCAAAAGACACCACAGACTTTCACTCCAGGCATTCACCTGTTTTAACTGGTCTATTGGATCTCCACCTGGCCATCATTAGGCGCCTCCTGCCCGTTGTGTGACGACTGTAAAGGCTACCCAAGCTTTCAGGACTGAAGCCCTGTCCCTCAGCTGACACTGGCACGTGATGCGCTGTGCGTTAGGATCACAAAGCAGTTACTTCTTGCACTATTGATCAGTTATTGTGTCAGGTTCTGGCTGCATATTAACCCAGTTGTGCCTTCCTTCCACAGGGAATGATCTCTTTCTGGTTGCAGTCCATGAGCTGGGACATGCCCTGGGTCTGGAACACTCCAATGATCCCAGCGCAATCATGGCTCCTTTCTACCAGTACATGGAAACACACAACTTCAAACTGCCCCAGGATGACCTCCAAGGAATTCAGAAAATCTATGGTGAGCAACAATATTCACTCATCTGTTTACACTGTGCCCAAGTGCAGCGAGTATTTTACAACCACAGACAGGTAGCACCTAAAATAATTACAGTTGGATGGATTTCCTGCAGTAGCTGACTGGGAACTGTTAAAAAGCCCTCGATCCACAGCCAAATACCAGTTGTTGCAGTTGCAGTATCGTTGTGCAGGTGAGGATAACCAGACCTGTGTGATCTCACTGCTGCTCCATCCCTCACTGTCCCCAATATCAAGGACTGCTGGACAGTGGAATTCAGCCAGTTGGAACAGCCAGTGCAAATGGAAGGGAAGAATGTGAGGAACCTGGCATATTAAGGAAAGTAATAAGTACTTATGCTCTCATGTTCTTTTTCTCCATATACGGGGGTGGGTAAAAGAAGCTTGGATCTGCTTAGGGAGCACTTTGTTTAATTTTTGGCTTAAATGAAAACACTGTTGTGCCACATATATACAGGTCAGAGAAAGAGAGGAGATGGAGGGATTACATGAGAAGATCAAGGGCTGGGAATGATATGGCACCATCTGATGGAATGGTGGATATCAGGGCTTGAGAACAGGAATCTTCGGAGTGGTTGACTGAAGGAGACTGGGAGCAGTGGGAGAGATGGGTTTGGGAAGCCACAGTCAAAGTGGCAGGCTGAGCTAGGAGATGCTAATGGAGGCTGGGAGGTCTGATCTGATACTGTGCATGGTAGTTTGTAGAAAATGTTTTGTCAAACATGCCTGATTTCCTTTTTTCGGAAAAGAGCAAGTTTGACAGATAGGCTATATGATACTTGTAGCTAGCTGCTAGCTAGCTATGTAGCTAGACGATATTCACAGCTGTATCCACCTGGAGTTAGCTCCCAGTACCATTAGAGCAAATATTATAGGAATTAAATGTTGATAAGATGGTTGTCAGTGGAAAATCATCACAGAACGGTGGTGTTTCTAAGGGATTGCTGCTGGAATCAGTGACAGATCCAATACTAGTCAGCTTTTGCAGCAATAATCTGCCAGTAAATTTTAAATTACTGCTGATGGAATTTGTGCCAAAACCCATAAAACTAAAGAAGCACAGGGAGACTTCAGAGGTCTGAGCTGTATGCTGATTGTTGTAGTCTGTTATTTTGGTGACTGGAATGAGATTCATAGGCATACTGACATATCCAAAGAACAGGCATCTCCATCTGGGCTATTTTCACTAACTCTTGCCTAGGTAATGGGAAAAAATTCAAAAAGAGGCATTTATATGACTGTAGTTCACCCAAACTGGAAGGCAGATATCAAGGTGAGATCCAGCATTTAAATAAGATGGCATGAAGTACACCCAGGAGGACTGGCTCTTTTCATTAGCACAACTGAAGATTTCTTTTCATTGTTCATTAATGGATAAAGTTGTTTGGCAATTGTCATGCAGTATTATTTAATTATGCTTTATTTCACTCAGTATGTATGTACTCAAGAAACCTGGATTGCAGAGACTCTGGATGGTTTTGAAATTAAGTGCTGGGGTAGGAAGCATTAAAGCTTCATTAAATACCCACGCTTTCATTTAAGAAAGCTCATAAAATGTCACTACGCTGTTTCTATTTTGAAATGCTGATTTATTTCCTGTGAATTAGAAAGAAAAAAGAATACATGCTGACGGTGAAAATACAGTTGAGAAAATATGACTGGCTTCTCTATTTCCAGATACCTTTTTGCAAAGGGAACAGATGAGGAACTGACAAATGTATTTCTTCCATGATTGTGATTCAAGCCAATGTCAGCACTGCCCAGGCAGGGACCCAAATTCCAGGGCTGAGCTGAAATGTCTTCTGGGCCCATGGACAGGGTGGGCCTGGAGGTACCAGAGAGGCTGGTAAGGGCCATTAAGGCTCATTCATGTCCTCATGGGCTGACAGTTCCTAATAGAGCTGCATAGCAGCTTGTGCATAGCTGGAACAGAGCAGAGAGCTCAGCACTGTGCTGCTCACAGCTTTCCAGCAGCGCCGCTAGACTTCAAGTTGTTTCTTACTCAACCTGCTGACATTAAACTTTAGCCACTAGCTACGTTAAGATTCTCCTTATGCAATATAATATGCTTAAAATTTAAACTCAGCTTGAAGAAAGTGGTGTGAATGAACTACCACCTGTACAGGTTGGAATCAGGAATGAGTTTGTCGACTGTCACAGAGTCGTGTGAGGCTGCTCTCTGAGACCTGTGAACTGGAGTGGGCTAGGAATGGTGTTGGTAGTTGTAGAGAGACTTACTTGTGGAGGGAGAATAAGTAACAGCTTCTGCATAGGGAGCTTTGCTTCCCAAGGTGGAGATTTCATCTCTAAGCACAGGGTTCTGGAATCTCTCTGCTAAGGTCACAGAGAAAAGGTGGAAAATGCAGATTATATTTCACCCTGGAACAGGAGATATGAGAACAAATCCTTCCATCAGAGTGCCTTAGGGCTGAGAAGGACCTGTTGAAATATCTTTCTTGTAGCTATAGCAGTAACATTTCATGAATGTGCCTTATTTCCACAACACCAGTCTGCCTTGTCTTGCTTTGAGGGTGCTGTCTACCAAAGCACTAGCAAAAAAACAGGATGTCCTGATTTGCTGCCCTGACATTTTCTATGATGCTCAATATGAATGATGTTGGAACATACTATGTAAAATAAGTCATAAAGCACTGCCTTGCATGTAGCATCCTTTTTTTAAAAATCAAATTCAAACCTACAGATTTTCATTCCACTGAACTTGCAGATCAAAGAACAGAGACACTACTGAAATTTAAGCCTGATTTGTCTTCTTTGACAATGTTGCACTTTAAATGTGTTTTTATGTTGCATCTTCATTTATCCCTTGGGAAACAATGTCTAAGTCTGTCATCTAATAATTTGCTGCATGACTAAGTTATTTTCTGCTGGATGTATTTCAAAACTCACCTACAGAGACAGCAGGTGGTGTGAAATCTTGCTTGTGCCTTGTCGTGTTAGTGTAAGGTCGATGTTTAAAATGTTGCTCTGACTTACAAGCTAATGATGAAAGGGGCAGCAGCTCACCGAGTGTGGCAAAGAGTGAACTATAAGAAAAGTCAGCAGGATTTTTGTCTTCCGAAAGGTGCTTCTTGCAGCACGTTCCTTGACAAAAAAAAAGGGAAATATCATAACTGTTCTCTTGTGTCTTTCTCAGAATGATAGCTCCCATTGTACTTAGGGGCCCATGTTATGAGTGGGATGGCCAGGAAGGAGTTAAACTGGAAATGACACTATAATGTAGGTCCCTTGGATATTCTGCTAGGTTTTCTGCCTCTGTTATTTGTCCTAGTATTGAAGTCAGGGCTGCATGCAGCTACTGTGCAGTTAGAGAGAAGCAGCATACTCAAACATGGCGTTGTTGCACAACTTGAACTGATCCTCTTTCAGCACTGCTGCTTCTGTTCTTCGTGTCTTGCTGTAGGCAGCCTTTTGTAATGGACTATAAGGTAGCTCTCATAGTTAGAAGTGACTCTTCTGACACTGTGTCTGGAGAGCAGGGTGGTCAACGTGATGTGCAGAGAAAACTCACATCCACGTGGCTACCTAGAGCTGGTGAGCCAGGCCATTGCTTTCAAGGGCTTTCTGAAGCTTAAGCTCACTAACAGAAGATTTTCTGTCTGCTCAAAGATAGACCAAATTGTTAATCCTGGAGAATACCTCAAGGATTTCAGTCCTCCACATCTTTTAGCCCGGGAGCTCCAAGTCAGTGCATGTGCAGCATCCCATCAGGGCTGAGGTCCAAGGTGGTAATGAAAACCCCACCAGCCCCTGTCCAAGGAACAAATTAATCACTGCTGGGCAGTACCACCTCTGACATCCAGGATCAGGGTGTCAGCAGTTCCTGAGCAAATAGCACCTTCTTCTGGCCCCTTTACTCCTATGCTGCAAGCACAGTTTCATAGCTTCACTCACATTTCCCAATGGCTTCCCATAGAGCAATCCCAGATCTGTATGACGTATGTGTATGTGTGAGGTAGCTTTTTATGAAATGGCAGAAAGACTTGATGCCAAAAGGCTGTAAGCTCCATGTGGTAACCCTGCTTTGTAAACCATCAGACCAGAAGTGTTTGTATTAGAAGTGTTTCATGATAATGCCCTCTGAAAGTGGGAGTGGTATAGAGTAATAACCAAGACCTTGATCTATAGAAAATGATTTTAGTGATTGTGAGACAGAGAAGTATGTTCTGCTTGATGGATTTGCAAGCCTCTAGCATACCTCCTGTGCCAAAAGAGGAGTAGTTTAATGACAGTCCTCTACAGCACTGTGATGGATGTTCACCTCCTGAAGAACGAGTACCAGAAGAAAGAACTTGGAAGGGTAATCTTCACAAGCAAAATTGAAGTACCTACTCTGGGAGATCCCAGATCTTGAGGACAGAGTGATTCTCCCTGTGGCTACTCATCCCATCTAGAGCTTCTGCTTTAAAAGGGCAAAGAAGGTGAGTTTCTGTGCTAGGTGAGCAGGTGGATGGGCAGTAGCAGGGAAGGTGGCAAGGTCCAGGTGAGTTGGAAGCAGGGCTGCATGCTAGCAGTGAGCCCAAGATCATGCCTTTTGAACACTTCCAGAAATCCAAAAGGACTGTGAGCCCTGGACTGCCAGCAGCACGGGCATGAGTGGCATCAAAGGCCATGCAGATGCCACCAATGAGTTTTGCAGTTTGAGATAGCCAGTTATCTCTAAAGTATTAGTGCTGAAGGCAGCAGAACAGGTTTCTAAAATGCTCATTTCAGTCTTCCTTTGGAAAGCTGTTATCATCTTTTCACCTCATTGGCAAACTGACAATACTATTGTCTTTCAAAGCAAAGATGATGAATGTTTTTTTTTCACTGTGTCACAAAAGAACTCAGACTTACAGCTGATGAGCTGACAGCATTAACTCTCTCTGTGTTATCTGTGCTGGAAGACTGGCTCATAATGGTAGAAATAGTAGGCTGCTTTTGCTGGGGGGAATGAGGTTTTTGTTTTCTTTTGTCTTATTTGGA